TAATCTTCAGCTTGTTCATCCTCATCCAGACAGCCACAGCGGCCAGGCACTTGTCCAGCACCCGAGGGGCTTTCTTGGAGTTAGGTGGAAAGGAGTAGTAAAGTTGTGTGTCATCTGCATAGAGATGGCACCTAACTCCAAAACTCCGGATGACCTCTTCCAACGGTTTTTAACGTGTAGATGTTAAAAAGCATGGGAGACAGAATGGAGCCTTGCAGGACCCCAGAGGTCAAAGGCTTACATGAGGCCGAGCCCACAGCACATCAATAAACAAAAGCAATAACAAATAATCAATACAAAACACATAAAATAAAAACTCAAAAACAAAAATACACAACAAGCAATAAACAATAACAGTAGCATACAGCGATGTGACTAAGATAGAAAAACCATGCAAATGTTTAAGAAGATAAGGACAGCAAGTAGATTTAAAAACAAAATTACTTACCAACCATCGCACTAACTTCTCCTGCCATCAGTAGATCCACAGTGCTGTTGTACAAATTCACATCTATTATACCTTTACGAATAGTTTCGCCTACTTTTGCTCCTAGCAGCACTGAACCAGTAGTTTCAAATATGGAAGCAAGAATACAGGCCTGGCGCAAGGTCACCACACCAGAGCCCACAGCCGTACCAAAAGAGTTGGCAACATCATTTGCGCCAACTGAGAATGCCAAGATAAAAGCAATAATAAAACCAACAATAACCATCCAAAGATATTCTTCCAACGCCATCTTTCTTGGTGTTCTTGTAGATGTTTCCCCTTTGTAAATATTTAATTAGGCAAAACCGAGGTTACAGTGAGATATTTGTAAAGCAGATTTCTTGCACACAGTGAGTTCTCTCTGGAAAGTGCTGTGTAATGCTGGAGTGTGAAGAAACTGCTAACTGGTGATTTTCAAGCTACTGTCAGTATTGTTTGTTTGGCTGGGTTCAGTCACAATTGAAATCCATTCCATATTTTATTTCAATAGTGTTACAGCTGTGGTGATCTCTCCTGCAAAGAAAGGAAAAAAGGGGATAAAATACTGCAAAAATAGCATGAATGCTTTAAATTAATTACTGAGATTTAAGAATGACAAGCAACACTCACAACAATAAATATAGACAAGACTACTTGAGTTAGAATCAAAGTAGGATGTAATTTAACAGTCCTCAACACTATATTTGAAAAGGAATATTTTGCTTTGGGTAGAGCATATTGACAAAAGGTAGACCACCATCTTCCAGTTGGTTACTGAACTTCACAGTAATACTATATCAAGCAGATCTGTCAATAACCCAGCAAGGCACCTGTATACAGTATGCACTTTGGGAAGGATGCATACTCAAAGTTATTTAAAAGCTTTATCTAAGGGCCTTTCCACACAGTCCCTATATCCCAGGTTCTGATCCCAGAGTATCTGCTTATCCCAAGTTTTCTGGCAGTGCGGACTCATATAATCCATTTCAAACCAAATAACCTGGAATCAGATCCTGAGATGTAAGGATTATGTGGAAGGGCTCTAAGAATCTAGTCACTTGTCAAATTTATATCATATTGACAGACCAAAAATATTCTAGTAAAAATAAAAAGACCATATGGCAGCAAAATTGGTACATTAGTGATTTATAGAAAGAGGAATGCAAAGTAACGAATCGCTTTTCAGTAAAATTAGGTAAGTGTTACTCGATACAGCTGTACTAAAATCAGTGCTATCACATATCCTGTGTTTCTGACTTCCAACCACTGCAAACTCTGTCAAAATTACTCAGGCTCTATGTATCGCTTGCTAATGAAAAACTTGATTTCAATCCTGAAATACCAAAATGAGGACTTCTACTGACAAGATTTTTACTATTCTCTGTCCCCAGCAATCCAAAATTAACAAAATTAATATCAGGAAAGACTATCCTCCACCAATAGCTCCTCTTTATAAAACCTAATTAAAATTAATTTGGGGAAGAAAAAGCATTTTGCTAAAGCTCTACTTCATGTATTCAAAGGGATAATCCACCTGTCATTGTTTCCCCCACCATTCACTCACAAGGAATGTCAGAGCATATTTTTTCCACTGAACAATAGGTTCTGTAGATTTAACTATAATCTCACTTAGACACACTGAATGGATTTGGAGGCAATGCCAAAATATGACTTTGTGTTATGTCAATAAGCCCTGAGCCTACCGTACGTCTTCTTCTCCTCAGATTTTCTCTCTTATGCTGAAAACATGAATTTGAGAGAATGTGAGACGAAGAAAGGAAGGCCCTCAATAATTAATAAGGTTTATGTGGACTACAGTGATTCTGAAAATACAGATATACAAAAAATAATAATCCTGAATCATTTTCTACTCCGCTTTTCTCATCTATTTTTAGGTTACAACTAGCTTACTGATTACACCATGTAATAAAATTTGATTTTTTTCCCCCTGTTCCAGGTTTGAAAGTGTTATTTCCTTTTTAATTGTGCGGTACTTACTTTGAAGGAGTTGTTATACTCCAGAAACTTTGTTTTTGCGGCTGCCACAAACTATGTTGAATTGCTTGAGACGATGAGATATTTATTGAAAAGCTATAGCAAAATGTGCTGCAGGATGTCCCGCAAAAATAAAGTTTTTGCAGTTTAATAGACTTTTCCATGTTTTTATGATACAACCAATTAAGAAATGACATTTATAATCCAGGAACAATAATGTGTTGCATAGTGCTGTTTATGGATCAATGCTACCCCTGTTGCATCTGCCAGTACCTTGCTTGGTCCCTACAGGATTCCCTATCAACTTTAAAAATAGTAAAATTTGAGCTCTTGCATATTATCACAGGTCATGGTTACTTGATATAAGCCAGAAACCTGTGAGACTCTTGGCTTGTTTACGAGTAGGATGCTCATACAAGTTGGTCAACAGTTTTCTCAATGAACCAAAGAAAGATCTCAGAGTCTTTGTTGAGGGGGGGAAATAGTCAGGGGAAGAAAATTTTGGGATGACTTACTACAATTTACAGAAAATCAATTTTAAAATGACATATGCTATCATTATTTTGGAATGTAGGCATTCCCCGAGTTACAAACATCTGATTTACAAATGACTCATAGAGGTGAGACAACAAGCAGTGATAGAAATCTACTCCTAGAAAGGGAAATTACTCCTGAAAGGGTTATCATGGGGCTCTCACAGTCAGGAAGTTCTTCCTCATGTTCAGATGGAATCTCCTCTCTTGTAGTTTGAAGCCATTGTTCCTTCTCACCAATCCTTGTTTCCACAAGTCAAATTTTTCAAAATCCAATTATCACAAGGACAGAAAGTGATATGAAATGAGACAGCAAAACAAACACCACAGGGATTAACGCTTCCCTATGCTATCCAAACCATGTGTGTGTGTATAGCTGGATTTATACTTTAAAATTTACCTGTTCCAACTTACATACAAATCCAGAATCATAGAATCATAGAATCAAAGAGTTGGAAGAGACCT